ACAAACAAACAAACAAGCAAACATCACACCCCTTTCAAAAAAATCTTTAAAATTAAGACTGTGACCTTACAATAATAACTAAACTGGGGATTACTTTATTTTTTTCAGCAAAAGAGAAGGCTCAAAGGAGATGCCACCAGAAAATGTATTTCTTATGTTGAAGGAAAAACAGTCTTTAAGATTATGTTTGACAACAATTTGGTGTAAACTAAATAAAGCTCAAACAAGGAATGCAAGAATATTTACAGCAAACCCTGAGGAATGCACCAGAGTCATGTGTTAAAGCACCAGGTGCACTGATGCAGAGGACACTTAATGTTGAAACTGCGTCTGATCTTTCACAAGTGATTTCTTATTTTCCAGCAGGTTTCTAGGTCAGAGGCGGTTGTGCACGGGAACTGTGCACCGCAGCTCTAAATTAGAAAACCAGTGCTTTCTACTCTCTGTTCTTACTCTTATTGTCTGACAGAGCAGCTGCTCTTTAGCTTTTTGAGACATTTTGACTTGTCACAAAGGGAAAAGCACATGAATAAATCAAACGATGCCTGAATACCATTTAGCTGCTTTAGCCTCAGGGTCCTGACATTGTGCATGCTGCCATGGTTTAATGGGACACTTTAACTCAGTGGTTCCCAAACTTTTTTTGCTAGCCCCCCTTTGTTTTACAAGAAAAATGTTCGCGCCCCCCCCGCGCGCACACGCACACACAAACACATCCTCCAACCACACACACGCATATTTTGCTCCATTGTGGTTTATTTCACACCTCAAACATTTAGTAAACAATTAAGCGAATACAAGTAATCTGCAATAAATTACAGGTAGTAAGCAAATAATCTAACTCTTTAACGCTACGTCCGCACCTGCGCGGGTATTTTTGAAAACGCAGCTGTTTCGTCCACACGTAAAACGGAGATTTTTTAAAACTCCTTTTTTGCGTTTACGTGTGGACGAGGAATACAGAGTTCCTCATGCAACGTCAAAGGTATGTGCCTTTATTCACGTCACGCTGTGCGCCACGTTATTGTTTACATGAGATGAATTGCAGAATAGCAGATAGTCAGATTAACAATATTTTGTCTCTATCTTCAGGTTTTACAGGCTTACACACACGCAGTTACTGTCCCTCTATTTAGAAAGGCAGAGGCGTCACGGTGTGATTATTTTACATGTAGTTGTTTTTTTCTGTGTAATAATATTCAACATTGTTATCAATACATTTGTCAAAAATGCCTCTCTGTGCAAAATGGGTTTAAAAACATAAACAACTGTGGGATACTGTTTGTCCGTGATTTGAAGAGCCCAGCGCTGCTCCCGATGAAGGGAAAACCAATTCTGCAGGGGAGACCTACCTCGGCATTTGTGCAGGTGAAACCAAAGGGCAGATATGCTTCACCATATTTTGTAGTCTTTGGCTTAGAATGAAGTTGGTTTGGAAACATATTCAGTGATGCTTCATCTCCTGCTTTGCGTTTGTGTGGGCGCCCCGTGCTAGCAGTGTCCAAGCATCCCCCCCCCATCCAATGACTCTGCGCCCTCCCTAGGGCGCGGGCCCCACACTTTGGGAAGGTCTGCTTTAACTGATCGGAGATACAATTAATGATATTATTACTCACAAGGAAATACCTGGAAACACCTTATCTGCTTACTGGTAAGCACTGAATGGTAATATAGTATATAAGTAATATTTAGTCAGAACAGAATGAAAACATCCACAAGCCTGCTCATTTATTAGACACACAACTCTCCTCTGAACAACCGACAATGAGCCGACTAAACGAAAACAGCTGGTTATGAGCTAACTCAATACCAGCTAACAATAGGATCAAGTATCCTTGAAACCAGCATTCCCTCTGATAAACAGCTTGATTATATTCTCACATCATATGAGAGTTAATTCGCCAAGTGTCTGAATCTACTTCAAAGCAGCAAACAAGAGCAGCTGGCAGACTAACAGCAGCAAAAAACAGCAGCGCTTATGACAGAAAAGTTCAGAAAAGTTTGACATTATTCAACATATTCAAAAATACTGTGTACAAAAACATATTTGTTTTACACAAACAGTAGTAGAAACATGCCAGCCAGCAGCAGCTGGCTAAATGTAATGGTTTTGATCTCTCTTAGGTGACTAAAACGTTTTGTTCTATAACAGCCACCGTAGCTGAGATTATGCACTTGAATTGGGAGGTGTAAGAAAACAGAATTCAGTTGACTGTAACCTGCCAATCTACTGACAGTCAAACTGTTAACAGTGAAAATCTGAACAACAAATAACAACATTATTTGTTAATCATCAACACCTAGAAATCAGTCCCACCAGGTGAGCTTTGCCCCCTCTGTGTTGCTGCATCTGAAAGTAGAGGCTTTGGGACTGATGCTTATTTTCCGGTGCCTCCCAAAAACTGACCGTCACCTTTCCTGGAACCAGCAGAGGCTCCTTAAACTGGGCAGTGACGGTAATGGGAGCGGTGATCACTTTAACCCCTGTTGGCAAAACAGAGCAGCTAGCTGACACCCTAGAACAGGACAGAGCCATTCTTCATAGAGATAATTAATACTGTTATCGTCTGATAAATCGCATTACCTTTGTGCTTTTCAATTTCAGCCAAGCAGACAGAGAACATCCACAGACTCGGTACTCTGTGAGGAGTGAATCTAAAGAGCCTGGCCGGCAGAGAGAGGAGCTTACATGGAAAACTCCATGTACACTTCAGGTCAGGAGTCCAGGGAACTTTGAGCTCCACCTGCTTCAGAGTGTCCGGTGCTGGCTCATCTTTCTCACCTGCCAGAACAAAGATCAAAGTCATGGTGATCAGGTGAGTTAAAGCCCCAAGTGTGCCGTCGCTTTAAAAACACAAATATTCTGAAGGGGAACCACCGTGACACTACTCACTCTCATTTTCATTCTTAGGTGAACATCTGATGGCTTTGTGAAGCTTGTTTTCGGAAAGCAGTGTCAGGATGCTCTCCCACACTACGCATCTGGAGCGGGAAGTAGCAGACAGACAGATGTCCACCTCCACCCCTAGATCAGTCGGCTGGTACCCCAGGACTTGCACCCGCAGGGTGAATGGACCCTTCTTCAGCTCATCGATTGGCTGAAAGGTTTTTAAACTCTGACGCACATGGACAAGACCTAAAAAAAACATTTAAAAACACTCAAAGTTGGATAATTTTCTTTTAAAACCTGCAGTACACATAAAATGATGAAGATTGAAATCACTTAAAAAAGTAAATACTGTACATAATTTCAAATGATGGACTAAAAACATTTAAATATTAAAGTTTTTTTTTTTTACTGGGAAAAACACCTTTTTTGGTAAACAATGTAGTCGGTGCACTAAGTCAAGCTTTTTAAAAAATGGTTAGTTTTCATTCCTGTCCTTGTGTTTTCCAGTAAATTTGAATTTTCTTTTAGTTGTGACTGACTGCTTTTGTGAGCAAAGTGAAATAAATGGATAAATAGATACTTTTTGTGGTTTTCCAAGGTGAGTATGTCTTCAGCAAATTAAAATGGCACTTGTGGGGTTCTTGCATTAGCTGGTTTGTCTTCTAGTGAAACTCATTTGAGCCTGCAATACTGGTGCCTTCGCTATTTGTTTGAAATCCATCTGTCCATACATTTTCTACCACCTGAAGAAAGAGCCAACTCTTCACGGGACAAAAGACCAGGAAGGCACCAAGTCCAGATCGTGTGCCACCTTCTGCACTGATCACCTGGCCCCATCTTGACACTGATCTTCAGCAGATCCCTGGAGCAATTCATCACTGTAGGGACACTCTCCAGCACCCCAAGAAGGCTGGGTACTCTGACCTGTAGTTCAACTGGGTAGTGAATCGGGGTTGAATACCCACCTCTGCCTGCTGCCTCTCAACGAGGGCAACTCCGGATTGGTACAAACTCCAGCCCCTGTCCAGCAGACTGCGGTGAGGTGAGACTGACTATATCTAGGAAAGATCTCCCAACCTCTCACCTAAGCTCAGCATCCTTCCCCACCAGAGAGGTGATGTTATATGCCCCAATAGCCAGCCTCAGCAACCAGGGATCAGACATCGCACACGACCATTACAACTTCTCTTGTGGGTGATGACCCCACAGTATGGCCCACTTGGGATCACTACTTTTAAATGTAGCCACAGAGTTTTGATGTAGTATTTTGTACAACAATCAAATATTGAAATCAAAGCAATTTTGGCAATAAAATGTACCCATCAAGTTTCCACTGAGTTGAGATATCAGCAAAAGAATCAGTCTGGTTAAAGACGCCGTGTCATAGAATCATAATACTTTATCATTCCCTGAAAAAGCTCTATAAATGTGTGTCTTGTGTTATCTATGTCTTACCTGCTGGGCTGAGCCTGAAGTTTTCATGAGTTAACAACATAAGGAGAGGTCTGCCGCAGAGAAACTCCGGGAAGCACAGCGGGATGTCTCTGTATTCACTGTCTGGATAATCCCAACCATAACCTGCAGCACTGCAGAACCTCCGCAACAGAGCATCCTCCACCCTTAGAGACACATACACAAACTCAAGAGGACCTGCTCCCAGCTATTTTACAGTTCAAATGCATGCGTAAAACGTTAGGCCGCACTCACCTGCAGCTGACCACTGTATAACCAGCTTCTTGTTTCTCTGTACCGTATAAGCAGCCTGCTCTCCGGGTCACTCTTCTGCTCAGGTATTTCATGTAAACATACGCATCACTCGGAAGTTTGTCGCTATGCAGTTCGGTTGTTTTCAACAGCTTGTGAGCGCAGTAAACGTGAACGTAAACCAAATACACGGAACATACAGACAGTGAGGCCACAATGTAACTCTGCGCATTCCCCATTATCGATTATAATATCCATGTAGGCTCACAGATACCGATTAGCAAGGTGAGCTCCAAGTGCATGCAACAGTACGGCAAGCGCCCTGGGACAAACAGTGCGCTTTCGGCTCATCAGCAATGAAACTCGCACTCGGTGACGTTTTTAAAAAAATCTTTACTGTCGATGCACAATCACTTATTCCACAATTATTTTACATATTTTTCAGAGTATAAATTACAGCTGTTTCATAGTCGGCTCCTCTCACCAATTTACTAGTACAGTGTAAAAATATTTATTTTTGCTTACTGTCTGAAAAGTTCAAACTATTCAGCAATTCGCTATTTATTTATTTATTTTTCCAAAACGAAAGGGAGATGTCACTCTTATTGGCTGCAAAGAGAGCTTAACAAAAAAACAAAACAAAACCATCCAACAACTCATGTATAGAAATATACAAAGAGAACATTCATATCCAGGCTGAAGGGGACATTGTGTCTTCTTCAGTGGTTCCTGAGGTGACGGAGATGTCCTGACTCATCTGTCCCGTCCCCGCTTTTAAACTTCTTCACCCAAATAGAAGCAGCAGTACAATGCAGACTGAATTCACTGCGATCAGCGGCACTGCAGGGGAAAATAAAACATGACATGGTCTGAGCCAAGAGAAGTTAAAATGATCCAAGTCACTCTGTCTGAAGAATACTGAGTGTGTGATAAAGTGGAAACCCACCTCTCATGACTGTCCTGACGGAGCGGATAAGATTCATTAGCTGGACTTTGATGCCTGGTTCATCACCAAATCCCCCGACACTTTGATCCACTCCCCAGCCAACTGAAGATGGTTAAAACGAACGGATTTATATTAAGTAGAGTGGGAATTAAAAGTACAAAATGTAAACATAGACGAACAACATAAAGTCTTCCTGTCAAATGGATAGAAGGTGGTGTAGCAACTTTAAACAAAGCGAAATCACAAACTTTTGCCATTTAAATTGTTCTATTTGACTAGCCTTTTAGCATTAGCCAGCTTAAATGCTGGGCCAATTCTATACATGACCTCTTGAGAGCCTAATATCTGAATTACAGACACTTACTTTTACTTAGAAATCTTTCTTCGTGTAGTACAGCGACAGCATTGATGCACAGAATAGCTGCTTGTATAAGAGAGTATAAGGTAAATGCCATCTTGTCTCGACAAGTAGCTAGCTAGCTATATGTTAGCTGTAGCTGGCACTATTTACATCCGGAGGCCGCTCTGCTTTGATTGGTCGTCGGGCTTAGGGAGTGGGCGGGGCGCGTCCAATCCAGAACCCTCCCGTAAGAACTGCTACGGAAGGACTCCATCTGTCTTCAAGCAACAACTTCTGACGTGCCCCACAACTACTGGTAGATATTTGCCTCTTGGGCATTTGTGAGAAATTTTTCTTTTATATTTTTGTAGCGTTTACTCACAGTTTGGTTAGGGTCAGGAGAAGACTATTTCTGTTAAATTTATTTTTAGAAGCTTGTCTGACATAAAGCCATAAAGCCAAACTCCCTCAATATACAGGCAGCTGAGAACAAGGCCCCTTTCAGAAATCTGGCTTTTCAAGTACAAAAAGTGAATTGCAGTTAGCTTTTCACAATCTGCCCCTCACTCATATAAAACTTGACCAAAACAAGATGCAAATGTATAACCAAGAGCTAAACGTTTAATAATTGTTGTTTGACAGAGCCTTGGGAAATGTCTTGATATTGAGGATGCCATAGTGCCACCACCCCTGAAAAGCAAACAAAAAACCGTGGCAGTTGGCAGGTAAGGGCTGCTGCAGTATCCCTACTTCCCACAGCCTTGTTTTACGAGCATTATGTGTAACATAGCCTCAAAACACCACTTTATGCAGGATGTTTCCTCCTGTAATATCTCATAATGTTATTATGATGTCATTATTGATGGTCATGCCACGGCTGGCATGGTGGATAACTTCGTAAGGCATGTAATGTGTTTTTTAAAAAATACATATTTAATGGTGGAATTTATTTTTCCCCCCATGTATAACCTGAACATACAAACTTAGCTCTATATGCTGCACAGCTCCAATTTGTATTTGAGTGTTACTTACGGAAATGTACCACTTTCCACAAGCTGCCTTTGATGAAAATGTCATCAGCTGCCTTTAGTGATCTCTACTTGAATTTGACGATTCAAATAGCAGGACCTTGGAAATCAGTGTTGTACAAATTCTCTCAACTCCTTGATTTAAGAAACACAAGAGGCTGAATCATGAGAATAAAAATCTTTATTAGTGTTTTATGAAGTCTGCATAATATGCGCACGCCTGAGAAGCTTATGGTCAGAGAAAAAAAAAAGGAAAAAAAAAAAGAGAAAAAGAACTGCTCTATCAATACCGCCCTCTACTGGTAAAACAACTGCCACATCTACTGTACTGACTGCTTTGCAAAAAGATTACTGTTAAATACACACATACTGTACTACTGTTATGTATATATGTATATGCATGTCTGGTCCACATCAGTTTTTGTAATGCAATTTTTTTTTTCCACATTCATATGTTGTAGGCCAAAGTCAAAACAATGTAACACCGGACCCTAACACTTGGTTCAGTTCCCCAAATCCAAACTTCACTAGGTGCACTTAAAGTACAATCACTACTGCCATATGGTAAACATATTTTGGGGGCGGGAACATGTTAAACTCGCAACAGCCACAAAATGAGTTGAAGCCATAAAGTCTTGTTGTACATACTGTATTTTATAGACAGAACAAGTACGATACAAACACTAACACAGAATGTCCCAGTGTGCAGGCACATTCGCTCCTCTCACAGGAGAAAATAAACACTCTCCTTCCGACGTTCCTGTAACATTTTGAAAGCCAATTATATCTGGTTCATCTTAACCTGCCTGCCGTAAGCACCAGAAGGCTACAAGAGGTCATGTGTGTTTTTTCCAAAAATGAAAGGGGGTGGGAAAAAAATAAAATTGAATGAACTGAATGGCCGAGCTGAATGAACAAATGGCCATTACAAAGTTTTACATGCCACTGGAATCATTCAAACCATTACAGAAAAGTTGATTTCAGGCAAATCTGTTGCTGTTTTAGTGTACTTTAAATGCACCAGATTTTTTCAGAAGAGAAAAAAGGGTAGATACAGGCTGCACATGTGTGGCAGTGATGTTTTTTTTCCTTAAACCAAGACAAAGAGCTGCTTAGAAAGTTTTGAGGGAGAGAAAAAAAAATATAAGGAATGATCCATGCCCTCCATGTCACTTTGGAAACAACTGTGGTCTTTATAATATTATTTTAATAAAAAGTGGACGACAGAAATTGTAAGTATATTTATATATAAAAATACATGAGAATACAAAAGTAGCAAAACAATGGGGATATAGGCTAAAAACAGAATGAATTCATTCATTGAAACCTTCAAATTCTCCCAGTGAACCGCTCTCTACTTCACCTTGGAGAGTCCCAGGACTCCCAGTGTCTGTCAAAAAAACAAGAAGCTTTTTGATTAACAGCTGATATTCTCTGGTCCCTGCCCAGTGCACCCTGCAAAGCCTGGCCCACCACCTCTTCAGCTTCCATACCAGGCTGTTCAAGTGGGGGATGTAACTAGACTAAGCCAAGGACACATAAGAGTGCCATATAATGACAAAAATCATAAACTCTTGTCAGACTGAGTTAGCACTTCGTTTTTGAAATATTTATTCAACCAACACTCTTTTCTCCATTACGAGGAATGTCTTATAACGACACCCATCAAGACTTAAAATAAAACTAAAAACAAAAAAACAAAAAACTGAGGTGTATGTGTGTGCGTGTGTGTGTGAGGAAGGGGTGTTCTGGCAAAGACAATCAAATCACTTTTTAACAAAAACAAAACAAAAACACCGTGGCGTTTCCTTGAGGGGAACGGCCACCAAGGCCATCATTTCTTCACTAAGTCACCTCCCCCTGGCAAGAGACGGGGCAGAGTTTCCCAGAGAAAAGTAAACTTATGTTAACAATGTTTGGGGTAGGCTTTAAAAAAAAAAAAAATCATGTTACTTATACAAGCAATCTTCAAATACTGAGAAACTATTCACAGATATTTTTGGTATCTCCTCTACCTCCCAGACTAAAAACCAATATACATTTTATTTGTACCACAAATAGATCTAATATTAAGGTTTTGGGAAAACAGTTTTAACAAGGTGCATGACATAGAGGGGTAACAAAGTGCCAATTTTTGTTGTTGTTGTTTTACTCAAAAGTCTGTATCTGTGTGTGTATGTGAAGTTAAAAGAGGGATGTGGAACTGGGCCACAAATACTATGAAGTATGTCACAGAAAAATCAATCTGTGGGATTTCCTTTTTTTAAATGAAAGGACTCACATGTTTAGAATTTAACGAGCTTTATAATGGGCTTTTTTGAGGGGGAGGGGCTATTTTAGGACATACTGGAGCAGCGTGCGGATGGGGAACCCATCTGGGTCAGAACTTTGTCCAGCCACTGCAAGGGCCCGTTCAAATGCAGCTCGATCCAGCAAGGAGTGCTTGTGACAGTCTGCCGCCTGGAAAATAAAGATAATTTCATGAGCTGACGTAGCCTTTTCATGTTTCACGACATGTGACTTATGATGCTTTATGATGAGCTTTGTTAAGTGAAGCACCCATTTCTACAACTTCTTCTACATGAAGAGGATGTTGCGGTTTGCAGCTCTCTACTTGAAATTCTTAAAAACTACTTGAAAATCTGATCACACATCCCTGGAATAACCTGAACCATTTGCATCCCATGTGATGGAAATAGTTCAGGTCATTATTAGCTGATGTCACTAATAATGGCTCAAACTGTATGCATCAAAACAAAACAAAAAACCCCCCAAAAAAACATTTGCCACTAGGGCTGTGCGATATCACCAAAATCTCATATCCCAATATAAGACATCTATCGTCCCGATAACGATATAAATCACAAAATTTTAACATTTTCTGTAAATTCTTGCGTGACGTGTTTCCAGCTGCGCGTCATGTACCTGGAGTCGAGTGTTTTAACCGATGCATTTTTAAACATAAGTTGTAACGGCCGCCGTTTTCTATATTTATTACATGGCGTGCTGCGGGGAAAAGCCTGTTCTAACGTTTGAATCTAAGGTTTATTTTTTAGCACCTGAAGGCTCTTTGTTGCTTTTCATCCGTAAATAATCTGCTCTTTCACGTGATTCAGTTTATTTTGAAAAGTCTCAACAGGATCTTGAGCTTTATTGTGAAAGGTTTATGTAGAAAATAAACAAGCGGACACGCGATGGTTTTACCGTTGCTAATGACAACGCATAAAAACAGGCGCTTGTCCGTCCGTAGTGTGGTTATATTACATATAAGAGAAAGAGAACTTTAATAAATTAATATAGCCACTACAGTGACCATCAAAACCATGAATTAGAAAGCACTTTGGGCAACTATGCTGTTTTCTAAAGTGCTCTGTGAATAAACTCAGATTGGACTCTTTAACTTGGGCTCATTGTCGGCTGTTCTATGAACGCTCTGTTTGGTCTTTGTTATTTGTCCCCTCAAGCTTGACTAATAAATTAATCAATTAGCCAAGTCATTAAGTTCACTAGGAACAAAACTGATAGCGAGGAAGAAAAACTTTACTTTTACTCCATGACTCTGCAGTAATAAGGCCCACAAAGGACCATAGGGTGCAACTAAAGTTCGGCGTACAAGGCTCCACTAAGATTAACTGTTAACGTTTCAAATCAAATTTCCACATATTAAGTATGACTACATCCCATGATTTCCACAGTTTCTGGACCAGTGTTCACCTGTACTCAGCTCCCCAGCCTTTGACAAAGCTCATGCGGATAGTGCACATCCTGGTGAGTTGGTAGACGGCCTCAAAGCCCTGGTTGACTGACTGAGCCAGCAGAGCTGCAAATTCCTGGTTGTTAAAGATTTTTAGGTTACAACCTGAAAGGACAAAGAGAAAAAACAGGGCCGTCGGTTTTCGCTGGTGATAAAAGATGAATCACAATGAGACTTTGGTTGGAAGTGGTCTGTTATTGTTTTTGCTGTGGATAATTATTAATTACACAGACCTTATGTGATGATTCTGCTGGCCTTCACCAGTTAGTGATTTGATTAATTTAGCAAGTTTTTAAATTCCTCTTTTCCCACAGAACTCCTTTAAAAACTTTTTATTCTGATATACTGTGAATTAGAATTCTGAGTGCATTGCAGAGAAGTGGACTTTCAGAGGTGATATGAAAGGTTGCTATGGAAGCGGAGACACTGGGAGTGTAATTTCCATTTTC